CCCCCCCGCCCTTTTTGTTTCTGGTTTGCCCTTTTTGCCTCAGTATGCCTTTGATGGCACAACACTGTTGTCTATATAGTAAGGTTGGTACTTGAAATTTTTGCATAAAATAGGCTCAAAGTTGATACTTAAGATGAAAATATGTTAATGAAGCATGGCTGTTCACTATTTAAGATGTTTTTCTCTTTCTCTTTGTAGTTTGAGGGTGGCTCTGGATATGGTAAGTGTTTATGTAGAACCTTTATGTATACTTCATTATGTAGTTACTAAAGGGCTTGATGCATACGTTTAAATCAGACTATTCTTACACAGGGGGCCGTGGTTCATATGGAGATCTTGGTGGACCCATCATCACAACACAAGTAACGATTCCCAAAGATGTAAGTGAAGTTGACTTGCTTTTAATTTATGTTTTCTCTTAAAAACAAATAAATAAATTGCAGCCTTTTCTTAGATGATATAGATAAATCAGAAGTATTTAGGGTCCTTGATAAGTACATATAATATAAAACAAGTGTTTCTAAATCACCAAAAGTCTATTCTTTGAGTGTTTGTTTTGTGTCTTCATTGCAGAGACACACTAAACAGTTTTACTGACTTTTAATATTCAGTAATAGAGATGGTCTGTGTAACTTGTTTTTTGTAAACGAGCAACTTGTTCTCCCAGTTTTATCGCACCTGTGTTCATACAATTAGTACTGCAGGGGATGTTTTGAGGCTGTAAAGAAGTAAGCTTCCATTGCAACTCTTAAAACTAAACTTATGGAAGCTACTGAAACTCTGCTGTGATTTTTGTAACTATTTTTAGAGAGAAAGTTGTATCAGGAAATGAATGCTTTGCTTTCTCCCCTAGTTGGCAGGATCTATTATTGGAAAGGGAGGCCAGAGAATCAAACAAATACGTCATGAGTCAGGAGCTTCGATCAAAATTGATGAACCATTAGAAGGCTCAGAAGATCGGATAATAACTATTACGGGAACACAGGACCAGATACAAAATGCACAGTATTTACTGCAGAACAGGCAAGTTAATGTTTAATGTTGTCCTTGCTGTCAATTTTAAACTGACATGTACATTCTAAAGTTGCTCTTCTCTGTGATACGGTTTTTAGAAGGCAGGATTTAAGTAACTATTCGAATCTAACTTCTCCAGTGGTAGTTTTGCCTTGATTCTCTTCTGTTCTCTATTCTAATTAAAATGAAGACACCCTCAAAACTAATCTTGCTGGAAGATGCCTTAACCAAGCAGTCCTCTCATTTTCTCTGGTGAAAACTGCTGCAAAAAAACCCACTTGTAATAAATTACATAGAGCCTGTAGAAAATATAGAAGATTTCAGTGGATGTTGGTCTAGTTCTGTGTGGAAGACTAGTGATTTTGTTGTTTTTAGATAACTAAATTGACAACAGATCACAGTCTGCCATATGGCACAGACCATGCCTCTACAGGACAAGTTGAAATCGATTTGGTGCTGTTATGCAGCATTTCACACCTTGCTGGCATTACTTGGTCTTCTCTAGCAAATATTAACAGCTTCAGACTTAATTTGCTTAGTTTTGCTTTATTAACACGTTGGCTGTAGTAGCAGATTTTAATGTTTTAACTTGAATGTTTGACTTTTGATTACTAATATTTACGTGTGCCTAAAATATATTAATATGCCTATAATTACTAGACATTAATATTTTAAAATTATTTAGTTTTAAATGTATTAGGAATTTGTAATTTAATCTGCTCTAAGAATGTCATTGTGTATGTTGATGCAAGATGTATGGTCCATCATTCTAATACATGCTTTTTTCTTTTTCTTTTATAGTGTGAAGCAGTATGCAGATGTTGAAGGATTCTAATGCAAGATTATTTTTTCTTTTTTATAGTGTGAAGCAGTATTCTGGAAAGTTTTTCTAAGACTAGTGAAGAACTGAAGGAGTCCTGCACCCCTTTTTTTTTTTATCTGCTTCTGTTTAAAAAGCCAACATTCCTCTGCTTCATAGGTGTTCTGCATTTGAGGTGTAGTGGAATCTTTGCTGTCCACCAGATGTAATGTTTTTAGTTCCTTACAAATATGTGGGGGGAGGGAAAGGGCGCACGAGACTAACATTGAAGTTTTGAAGCAGCAGCAGAGAGAGTGAAATTTATTTTTGTTCATTGTTGGTGGTAAATTGTAATGTTTTTCTGTAATTGTTGTGAACACCCTGCTTTTATGTACACTGTATTTTATCTTTTTTAAAGGGGAGAGAATACTGGTAGTCCACATGTCCCTGCCATCCTTTGAGAGCAGTGTGCAGAATGTAATGCTCTTTTGTAAGAAACAGTTTATGATTTTAAATAAATTTAGTGAACCTGTTCTTGGTGGTCATTTTTCTTCAGATACACATAACGTGGTAGTATCTAAAATGGATACGTTTTCTTTTTTCTTTTTTTTTTTCCCCACAGAAATGAAAGTTGCTCTTAAGCTTGCTCTTCTGCTTCTTTGATATAGATGGAGTTATGTGGGGGTTTTTGACAAATTAAAAGAAACCATGTGAAAACAAGGACTCTGCTTTGCTGTTTGGGGAAAAACTGCAAAAATACTCATGCAAATGCTGTGTAAAACTTGACATTTTTGCAAGTGTTTGGCCCTCTCTGCAGTACATATATATATTGGTGACAGTATATAAATAAAATATTTAAAACCTTTGTGATGTCACTGAGTAAACAGTGGTAAAGTACACCTGGTTATAGACAGCTTGCTTAATGCAGATAACACTGTTAGACATGACAGTTGCTGTACCATTACTGAACGAATTATAGTTGTTTTCTGAGCTTTTATTTGTATGAGATAGGAATTCTTATAAATTGGCAAATTGACGGTATCTAACTCTGTAACTTGTTTTTCATTGTATGCAAAATTTTAACTTGTTTGGTTTCCTTGTTGTATGTTGAATTCCATTGTTGAATTTGTGAGAAATTAAAAAAAAAAAAAATATAAAGCCTCTGGATATCTCATGTAATACCTTGGCATTTGTATTTATAGTTTACAAGTTTTAATTTCACTTCCTGAATAAAAACAGATTTAAAAATGCAGAAGTGTGTGATGTGTCCTGGCTAAGCGTGGATTCCGTTACTGTCGTGTGGGTTGGGTTGGCGGTTTTTTTTTGTTTTCCCTTGGATAGTTGAAAATTTACTGCTTTTTTAACGGCATGGGCTGCTGCAAGAGGACCCGCCCCGCTCTAGGCCCCGCCCCTCCGCCCGGTCTAGGCCCCGCCCCGCTGCGCGGCCCAGGCCCATCTCGGGCGCTCGTCCTCGCCC